GTATATATATATATATATATATATATATATATATAAAACTTATTTATAAATCTATTTTATACATATATATATATATAATATCATAAAAATAATTTACGGCATAAACGGTCGGGCAAGATTTTGTATATGTAAACATTTATTTTATTAAATTTTAATTAAATAAACTTAATAAATGATTTCTAAGATTTAGTTTGCACTTACTACTAAATAGATTGTGTTTCTTCTGATTTATTTTCGTTCTTTAGTTTTTTGTTTCTTTTTAATAATATATTTCTAATTTAAATATTATATAATTTAAATATATTGTAATTATCTGTAAATTATAAAAAATTTAAATATTAAACAACGACAAAAATAATCATATATAATTATAAAGGATTTTATAAAAATAAAAAAATATTTATCATACATTGTTTTTATTGTATACATATACAATACATATGATTACAATATGTTAATAAATGTATATATTAATTTTAATATTCATCAATACTCAGTTCTACAATAAAAAAATTATGCAAACGTAAATAGATATGTAATTACATACATAATTTTGATCCATGAATTGAGTAAGTAGCACACTTTAGAATGGGATTTTATCGACAGTGTTAGAAGATGAAAGTGGCTATTTAATTCCAATATGCTAAAATGAAACTTGGGGGTGCTAGTGTACAGGTTTTGACGATCCCATGAAAAGGTTGATGGTCATTGGCTGCATTCAGAAAAGGCAGTTTTGCAACTATTGTAAAATCCTTTAATATGATTGGTTTATACATTAAAATCCATGAGGAACTAATGGCAAGAACCAATCATATCAAAGATTTTTATAACAGTTGCAAAGTGCTTTCTCTGCTGAACACAGCCATTATTCAATGTATTCAATGATCACGTTTTGTTTGGACATAACCTATTCTGTCTGAGTTTTGTATGATACACGTGTAAAAAAATGGCTAAATCCTTGCGCAGTAAATGGAGAAGAAAATGCAAAGCGATTAAGAGGGAACGCTATGCTGTAAAAGAGTTAGACAGATTAAAAAAAACTCTTGGTATTGATGATAATTCATCTAAAGATGTTGAAATGGCAAATATCAATGAAATCGCTACAGGTAAGATTTACATTAATAGTTGTGTATAATAATGTCTATAATAAAATTTTGTATGTATTATTGTATGCATTATAACAATGTTTTTATACTGTTTTATTTTCAAAATAATAGTTGTTGACGTAAAAAATTGAAAGAAAATATTGAAGCTAAGCAGGCAAAAGATGCACAGCTTGAGACTAATACAAGTGAAGAACAAATGGAAGTGGAAGGTGCTAGAGTATATAATAAGAAAACATTGCGGGACCAGTATGGCAATTATCCGGTATGGATGAGTCATAGAAAGATAATGAAACACAAGAAAGGCAGAGCAAAAACACTGAAAGCAAACAGGAAGACAGGCAAGAGACTCACCAGAAAACAAAAAAAGCGATAGAGAAAAAGAATAAAATCTTTATAAATTATTAAATTCAATTTTATATTACTGATTAATTTTTAAATATAAAAGTATGTTGGTTTTCTTTTTGTAAAAATAAAAATTAATTGAACAAATTATATTTTAATTTTATTTGATTAAGATTATCAATAAGATTATTATTCGATCATGATTGCTATTTCTCTAGTTTTTACACAGATACTCTGTGTGTTCCAAATAAATCATCTGATAAACAAAATTTGTTTTTTTGATGGATGTGATTAGATTTTGATTTTTTTTTTTTTAAGAAGAAGCTAAGTAACTAAAATGACAATTTTTAAAATATAGAATGTATGTAATAGTTAAATATTAGAAATTGTAGAACCTAATTATAGAATGCTACTCTTAATTACCTGTGATCATTATAAAATTAAGAAAAAGAGATAATATCCCTTAAACTTACAAAACAGAAAAAATATTTAAAAAGATGAAAAGTTTGCAATAATTATGCTGTTTAAAAATGAGGGAGATAGTGAATGACATTGACAGAGAGTCAGGGGCATCAATTGAAGAGAATTTTGAGACGTTTTGAGGAAATTATTATTGCAATTAAAAGGTAATATTTTTAAAAAACGGTTACAAAATCGTTAACTTATTGCGTGTACAACTGTATGTGTATTCACTCAATCACTTTAAATTGTAAGTAAATAACATCTTATTTTAAGAAAAATATAAATAAATAATTTTAGATTAATATGAACTGAGAGTCACAGATGTCTATATAATACTAAAATATTTCTAGTTACAATATTTGTTTTAATTGGTTTTGTGATGGATATTGAATTTTTTTTTGCTTAATGTTGATTGTTAATTGAATAAAACTGTAGACTATTACATAATATTAATTAAGAAAAAATTTCCCATAAATAATATAATGTTATAACTATTTTTTATATTATTTTAATATTTTATGGCACATTCTTCATCTATCTTAAAATATAAAAGAAGTATAGAAATGCATAATCCACCTTATTTTATTATAAAGATGAATACAAATAATAGTATTTAAACTATGTACTATGCTATCTTATTACTAGTCTGATAAATATAATAAATGCTAAATGATGGCAGTGATATTTCACGATAGAAAAATTTTTGTGTGAAGCTTATGACTACTACTAGTCCATATTTTAAGACAAATAATATAATTTTTTTAGCATAAAAATAAAAAATAAATATTTTAAATATGTAGCATTTTTTATATCTGTACGAATATTTCTGATTTAAAGATATCATTTTTGCGAGCATGAAAATTCGTAACAAAAATATTGCTACTATTAAATAAAATAGTAGTAACATTATTTACCACTAATATCAAATAGAATAGTAGATAGTATTACTGTTAATCATTATTAATATCAAATAATAATAATATCCACATAACACTTTAGTAACATTGAAACTTCAACGATCTACTAATTTATTGGTATCTGCAATGTATTCTCAGATGATTTTCTAGTTCTGCGACACGATTCATCAGATGATATATCTTTCTTATTTCTGTCTCATATAGCTTTATCTTGCTTTTCATATCATATACTTCTTGTTGCATCAATTGCTAGAAAAGAAAAAAAAAATAAATATATATATATATATATATATATATAAAAACTTCGTGTAATCTACAAATAATATAAATATTCATTTTTTTATATATTTTGATCTCTTTATATAATATATTGATATCTCTAGCATAATTGGAAATCAATAACAAATAACAAATAAATTAAAATTGTATTCTATCAAATTAAAATTCGTTGAATTATTTCGTTCCAGCATAGAAAATTTGAAAAAGTCTTTTACTATCATCAAATCAGATTCACAAATTTTTTTTAAAATAAATCAAATTATATATAAATATCAAAATACGAAAATTACATATACTATTTCTGTGTTTAATGATCAAAATTTACTTTTTTTTTGTTATATTTATAATAAAATATATTTGTATCACATATGTAAGAAGAAATAACTTTCAATAATACTCAATCAATAATAAAATGAAAATTCAACGGAAATAAAAAGTAATTATATATATTTATTATGCACTTGTTTATATACTAAATCGTTTTTAATTAGATGAAATTATTTGTGATATTTCTGGTATGTGCTATGTCAAGATTTAAATGATACATTACCACATTTTCGACGGTTTTTTTCATCTCATTGACACTTTCGACTGCCAATGTAACTTTGGTGTTTATGTCAGAAGCCTCTGTATCTCTTTTTTTATTTCTGGCTACTTGCTGAAAAGTTAATATATTTCCTCCATGAATAATGATATCGCATTAATAATAATTTTTTACTTACTTTTTCCAGTTTAATCAGTCTTTTTAAAATAATTTCAAAATCTTGATCATCATCGCTTACTTCATTTTCTGTATCTGCAATTCAATGATACTATGTCTATTACTTTAAATAATTTATTCTTTATAGAATTGTTTTCCTATTGTATATATTATATTATTATATAATGTTATTGTATTTTATTATAATATTATATTAACTAATATTGTAAATAATAGCTTTATCTTTAGCTTTATTTTAACTAATAATGAAAAATTTTGCAACTTTAAATTCCAAATTCTGAATAATTTTAAAATAAAATAATCACTAAAAATTATTTTCTATGCATAATTTATATCCGAAATATTGTTTATATGTAGAATTAAATCTTTATTAAAACAATAGAAATATATTTTTTAAATAAATATTACAGAATTTTAAAATTAAATTATACATACTATGAAAAATCGGATTCTTTGTTGTCGACACATCATGAAAATCGGTTTCTAAGTCGCGTGCTTCAAAAGCGTTTTCATCAGTGTCTGCAAAAAATAAACCTATTTTTAAAACTTTTTTCGAAAAAAGCTTTTAAAGCTTTTTAAAGCTTTTTTTTGTTTTAACAAATTTTAAATTTTGCGAACCATTTCTCCGACAAGATTGGCCATCATGTTGAAGTTGAAATCCAGGTCTACAATGACATCGATAACTACCAGGTAAATTTGTGCAAAGTTGTCCACATGGTTTTTCTCTCACGCATTCATCTATATCTGTAAGATGAAAAGTAAAATATATTTAAATAATTTTTGTAAAGTATTAAAATTGATGAGTTATCTCACCAGAAAGTAGAAAAAAAATAGATTTTATTTCATTATTTCAAAGTATTTTTAAGTAAATAAAACATAAAAACTTATAAAAAAAATCTTAAATTGAAATTTAAGTACATAAATATAAATAACAAGATGTTATTTATTAATTATTATATACAAACAATATTTAATTAAAATCTTATTATATGTAATAGATACGTTGCGTTTTCAAAATATCTATAATGAAAGTAAAAATTATATTTAAAAGAAAGTAATTAAATAATATGATAACTTAATTGCATCTCTTATATGTATTTTTCCTAAAACTTATATATTTTTCATATCTTTTCGTTTTACTAAAATCATAGTACTAAATTACTAAACAATAGTACATAATTAGTCACAATCAACTCTAGTAGTGATATAAGCATTGCCTCGTTAAAGCATGAAGAACGTTCAATCGATTGCTTGGTCACGAGTGCTTTCTCGTGCCTGGTACCGTCAGATATAATTAAATTGACGTGGAACGATATGCTCCTCGATAGCATTACGTGAGCATCAAGCTAAATGCAGCACAATATGTATTGCGGTCCTGCATGTCCTGCTGCTTCGGTTGCAATTATATATTACATACTCTTGATAGATTTACGAACAATTCCATCGCGATACATAATAAAATATTTTGGTAAAAATACAAATATAAATATAAAAATATTTTGATTATTACTTTTTTAAGTATATATCAGTGAATTTATTATTAAAATTGCAACTATAACTACGGCAAAAAGTTTAATATTTAAAACGCGAATATTATCTCTCTTTTATTTTCAATTAGCGGGATTTCTTGCTATGCATATAAATATTATTAAATTTATTAAATTTATTAAAGTTATTAAATTTTGTTTGAAATTATTAATCAAATTAAATATTTAAATTAAATCAAATTTTTATAAACTATAAATTTATTTTATTTTGCGCAATTTATTACATTAAAATAACGCAATTTATTTTATTATGAATCTATTTGAAATATGAATTAAAATTATACATACATACATACATATATATATGTACATATGTGCATATATATGTACTATATATATGTACTATATATGTACATACTAATAATATGTAGATAATATATTATAGACTATATTATAAATTATACAATTATATTATAAATTATATTCCTAAATTATTTAATTTTTTCGTCAACATCCACATATATGATAATGATAAATTTTATACGACTTAGATCTTAAACGACTTAGTTTATAATTCTAATTATAATTCTAATTTGTAAATAAAATTAACATTACCTATTTGGCAGTAGTTACCAGTATACCCTTTGAGACACGTGCATTTACCAGGCGATGTGCAAATTCCACCATTTAAACAGGATGTTATGCACGTGGCTGGAAAACGATGAAATTGAAATTATTAAACTTGCATAGTTGAAGAAAATAAAATTGAATTAACAAAAAAATGTATGAATAGAATATTAAATATGTATTAGTATTTTTATCCAATTTATAATTTATTATTGATAGTAAATTTTTTAATGTTTAAAATTTCGTTATCTATAGTCTAGTTGTATATAAATATAAATCAAAAATTAAATAACTTTTTGTCAGATTTACTTACGTTTATTGCAACCAAAGCTCAAATGCGTAACTTGTGACCAACCCGGGCAGCAAAAGAAACTGGAAATCATCTCAGTGTATACTAGGATATTTTATAAATTCCTTTTATACAATTTATAAAATGTACAAAATATCGTATATTTTATAGCAAACACTTATAATAATTTTTCTACCGTAAAAATTTATCTTTTAATACTCATAAATCTAAAAATATTTCTATTAGTAATTTATAATAGTAATTTATTTTTCTAATAGTAATTTATTTTTCATTATCTAATATTTATTAATATAAATATCTATTAATACTTTTATTGTATAATATTGTCTATTATTAAATAATATTTGTTCTGAGATGAAATAAATTAAATTATTTATTTTAAATAATCAATTTAGCTTTTAAATTTGTAAAATGTGTAATATGTACCTAATTTGTTTTCCTCGATGATGATGCGAAATTGCGGGTGCTTGTCTGGTACATACTCGCCTTCTAAAATGCAAATTATTAATTTATGAGAAAGAACAATTCTTCTTATTAATTTATATAAATTTTAATTTTTAATTTTTTGATGTATTTTTGTGAATAAAAATTGATTCTATACTTTATTATAATTTGTTCATAATATAAATACGAAATTATAATTCTAAATTACTTAAAAATGTTTATTTAAAATGTTAAACTTATAATATAAGAAAAATTTGAATTTCATAATTAATTTATCAAAAGAAAAATAAATATGTAAATTAAGATTTACATGCTATTTTGAACTATATGTTGTAAATTATTTTTTCCAAAAAATAATATAAAATAATATAAAATAAAATATGTTTAAAGATTTATTTTTATCAATAATATTTGTTTTATTTATAAGAAATTATTTATATTAATATACATATGTACAATTTTTCCCTAAGATAATAATTAAATAACCTATTATACTTATATCTGAGAATAATGTTAATATTACTTTTTAAAATATAATAAATATACAAAATATTATTATATGTAGATATTATCGGAAAAAAGCCTTCACATGAATTCTCAAATAATCCTTTATTTAGATCCCGCACCTCGATTTCAGCTTTACATTTCGTTATTGCGATTTATACGAAGGAGAGATTAAATCGACAAGTCGATTATTTTGATAGTCATCGTAAATAATATTCCATATGTCGCATCCCTCCCAGCTAAACTGATCTGCTAAAGCGTAATCATTTAAATCGTAAAGTACGCAGAAGACCGGTTAAATCGTAAAATACGAAGGCCGATCGAATACACGATCGAAATAAATATTGCATTAGTGATGATATTACGGTTCGTCGCTGTTCAAATTGATTCTGGAATTAAGTTTACATGACAAAACTTTATATGAAAGATATATATATATATATATATATATATATATATATTATTAGTTTTTATTAGTAGTTAGTTAAGTAT